AAAAAGAGGAAGAGAGAACGGGAGTGTTGCTTAATTGCCCAGACTAGAATGCAGTCTAAAAATGGGTATTGAAATCCTCCCTTATACCATCAATTGTGCTTAATAATGGCCAACCAATATTTCATTTAAATCTGTGAGTAGGAGTGATGTGGTACTGGTAAGAGTGCATATCTTATGTGTTTAAAGTGGAGAGTTCTATAAATGTTTATTAAGTTTACCTGTTCCAGATCTGAGTTCAAGTCCTGGATATCCTTATTAATTTTCTGTCTCATTGATCTATCTTATATTGATGTTGAAATCTCCCACTACTACTGTGTGGGAGTCCAAGTGTCTTTACAAGTCTTATGTATCATGTATTGGGTGGGTACACATCCAGGATTGTCAGCTCTTCTTGTTGCACTGATCCTTTTACCATTATGTCCTCTTTTGATCTTTGTTGCTTTAAAATGCATTCCATCAGAGGCGAGAATTGCAACCTCTGCTTTTTATTTATTTATTTATTTTTGCTCACCATTTGGTTGGTAAATCTTTCTCCATCCCTTTGTTTTGAGTCTTTGTGTATCCTTGCATGTAAGATGGGTCTGGATACAGCATATGGATGGGTTTTGGCTGTATCTTTTGATTAGGGGATTTAGTCAATTTAAATTTAAAATTATTGCCATTTGATGTTAGCTGGCTGTTTTGTCCATTAGTTGATGTAAATTCTTCATTATGTTGATGCTCTTTACTATTCGGTATATTTTTAGAAAGGTTAATACTGGTTGTTCCTTCTTTCAGAAGCTCTTGTAAAGCAGGCCTGGTGGTAATAAAATCTCTGAGTACTTGCTTGTTCACAAAAGATTTTATTTTTCCTTCGCTTGTGAAGCTTAGTTTGGCTGGATATGAAATTCTGGGTTGAAAGTTCTTCTCTTTAAGGATGTTGAATATTGGCCCCCACTCTCTTCTGACTTGTAGGGTTTCTGCTGAGAGATCTGCTGTGAGTCTGATAGGCTTCCCTTTGTGGGTAACCTGACCTTTCTCTCTGGCTACCCTTAGTATTTTCTCCTTCATTTCCACCCTGGTGAATCTAACGATTATGTGCCTTGGGGTTGCTCTTCTTAAGGAATATCTCTGTGGTGTTCTCTGTATTACCTGGAATTGAATATTGTCCTGCCTTGCTAGGTTGGGAAAGTTTTCCTGAATAATATCCTGAAGAGTATTTTCCAGCTTGGATTCATTCTCTTCCTCGCATTCAGGTACACCTATCAAACGTAGATTAGGTCTTTTCACATAGTCCCATATTTCTTGAAGACTTTGCTCATCTTCAACTTTCTTTTCTCTCTCTTTGCTCTTTCCCACAACCAATCCCCCTGACCACTCTTCTATCTGCTTATAGGTGTCATATATTTCTGCCCATAGCATTAGAGATAAGGCTCATTTGAAAGCAGATGGAAAATAGATAATGAGTCAAGCACAATCATTGCTTTTCTTATTTCTAGACAGATAGCAGCTCTCCGCCCATGACTCGGGACCCAGGCTCCTTCAACCCTTCACTTCATTGTCCCCCACAGAAAGGCAAGGGCATAAGGAGGGGACACATCCACTATTAAGGACAATGGCCAAGGAAGGCACACCCAACTCCAGATGGACAAGGACTCAATCACCAAGGCCAAACCTCAATGCAAAGAGGATGGGAAATGTGCTCCAGCCCTGGGGGAAACTGATTTGACAAACCCTCTTCTTCCACTTAAAGACTTAGAAAAACAAGAGCTTAGGGTGGCTTCTCACAGTTGGGCAGCCTTCCAGCGGTCAAGACGGGACATATACCAGGCCTGCTGGGGCCTTCGCAAAGCTCTGAGGACAGGGCCTCCCCAGCCAGCAGAGTTTGTGCCCAGACACCATTCCATATAAAGTCACATTTAGAAAAAGTACCTTGAGACGTTTTAGTGTCATAGGGGAAACCTGGTTGAGAAAAACAGGATAGATCTCAAACGTACTCAGCACAGTATTAGCAGTGAGAGCTTGGAGTTGACCAATCAAGGACAAGAACACCCCGCCATGTAGGGGGTGGTGGCAGTGAGCAGGACACGGACTCTCCCTCCATCCACACACCCACCCCACCTCCAGTGAGCAGGACAGGCCTCTCCTTCCACCCACACACCTACCCCACCTCCAGTGAGCATGACAAGCCTCTCCTTCCACCCACACACCCACCCCACCTCCAGTGAGCAGGACAGGCCTCTCCCTCCATCCACACACACACCCCACCTCCAATGAGCAGGACAGACCTCTCCCTCCACCCACACACCCACCCCACCTCCAGTGAGCAGGACAGGCCTCTCCCTCCATCCACACACCCACCCCACCTCCAGTGAGTAGGACAGGCCTCTCCTTCCACCCACACACCCACCCCACCTCCAGTGAGCATGACAAGCCTCTCCTTCCACCCACACACCCACCCCACCTCCAGTGAGCAGGACAGGCCTCTCCCTCCATCCACACACCCACCCCACCTCCAATGAGCAGGACAGGCCTCTCCCTCCATCCACACACACACCCCACCTCCAATGAGCAGGACAGACCTCTCCCTCCACCCACACACCCACCCCACCTCCAGTGAGCAGGACAGGCCTCTCCCTCCACCCACACACCCACCCCACCTCCAATGAGCAGGACAGACCTCTCCCTCCATCCACACACACACCCCACCTCCTGTGAGCAGGACAGGCCTCTCCCTCCATCCACACACCCACCCCACCTCCAATGAGCAGAACACAGCCCCTCCCTCCATCCACACACCCACCCCACGTCCAGTGAGCAGGACAGGCCTCTCCCTCCATCCATACCACCCTCCCCTTCTCCCACCCTCAGCAGCCTCCCATCAACACCCATCCTAGTATTCATTTTAAGAATGGAAAAAAAAAACAAATTTTCTTACAAATGAAGGAGTTTTGTTATTACCAATGAAAGACTATTGAGGGAGATCATCTAAAAGTCGAAGCTGTCAGACTAGAGAGTAAGCTCTGCAGGACAGATGCTGTCTCTTCCCGTGGCTGAAACACAAAAACAGATCCAAGGTATTAATTTTTAAGGCAACTGATCATCCGTGAGCAAGGTTAGCTCATAAGTTAGGTTGGTGGCACTCAGATTCCATGTCCAGCTATTTTCTTATTCAGATAAATAGTGGTTTGTTGGCAGGTGACATTTCTCCTTTAACCAAGATAAAAACAGTGTTCATAAAGGAAACGCATGGCAGAGTCAAGCGACACAGAATTTAAGTCTGGAGCAAGAAATTTCTTACCAAACTTTGAGAGGATTTCAGTATTACTGGCTGAATAAAGAAGTTCATACTGTAGTTTGAATGCTTTGAAACAGCTGAATCGGTTCCAACACTCCCCTGCAGTCAGTTTTACGAGAGCTTTCCTGATGCATTGTTCACTAATGAGTGTACAATGCATTAATCATGAAATCCATAAGAAAGAACATAACCAGCCATGATGGCTCGTGCTTGCAATCCCAGCACTTTGGGAGGCAAGGCGGAAGGATGGCCTGAGACCAGGAGTTCAAGACTAGCCTGAGCAACATAGTGAGACCCTTATCTCCATGAAAATAAAAATAGCTGAGCATGGTGGCATGAGCCTGTGCCGCCTGTGCCTCCTGTGCCTACTCAGGCAGGAGGCTGAGATGGGAGGAGTGCTTGAACCCAGGAGATCGAGACTGCAGTGACCTAATGACACAGTGAGACCCTATCTCTAAAAAAAAATTTTTTTCAAAAAAAAGAAAATAACCTCAAGCTAAAATTACAGATATTGAATATTGAGGAGGCAGAAACTAAAGCAAATATGTAAGCACACAGAAAGAGAGAGAACATTTCCCCAGCCTTTTTCAATACCTCGGCATTGAATCAACCATTAAAGTACGATGCATGCGTACCTACCAACAAAAAACAGAAATGTTTTTAAACCTTGAGATTTGGCCAATAATTCAAAGCGCTTGTTCAAGATGCTTACCCTAAATATAAGGAAAGTGACAGGGGAACAATTTATTCTGAAGAAACATTGATTGCGTGTGCTTTGCACACAGGCACACATCACATACACGGTGTTGTTTAACCTTACAATGACGCTGTGAGTTGGGTATCACGATCATTATGTAAATGAGGAAACTGAGGCTCATGAATTTGGATAGTGTGTTTGTTAGTTCAGGCTGCCAATAACAGAATATCACAGACTGGGTGGCTTAAACAATAGGCCTTTATTTTCTCATGGTTCTGGAGGCTGGAGAAATCAAGGTGTCGGCAGGGTTGGTCTCTGGAAGCCCCTTCTTCTTGGCTTGCAGAGGGCCACCTCCTCCCTGCGTCTCACATGGCCTTTCCTCTGTTTGTGTGGCCCCTGGTGTCTCTTCCTCTGCTCATAAGGACACCAGTCCTACTAGATTGGAGCCCCGCCCTTATGGCTTCATTTAACCTTTAACTATCTCCTTGAAGGCCTTATCTCCAAATATAGTCACTTTAGGGGTTGGGGCTCAAGCCCCATATGGATTCGGCAGGGATACAATACTGGCCATAAAAGATATCGTGACATACCATAACTCTTAGTGGGCTCTTGGACCACTAAGCATTGCTAAGTAGTAGAGCCAAGACTGTCTGAATCCAAAGAGGACTCCATTCAGAGCTTCCTGCCTCTCCCATGCTACAACATCTCAGACAGAGTGGGGAGGCCTCCCTCTGTGAGAGCTGACTCAGTAGAACCTGCTGGCAGGGACACAAGTTTGTAGCAATAAGCTCCGTCCTGGTGGGCAGGATGGTGAAGTGCTTACACAAACTAGATCGAAGAGCACAGAAGTCCAAGTCAACTAGAGGCCTATCCAGATGGCATGGAATAAAAATGGCTCTGTCTACTTTGTTTATAGCTTCACAAATGGTATTTGGCTTCACCAGCCCAGACAAAGTGTGCTGTTCCATTGTCCTCAAAGAGCCAGGCTTTCATTCAGCGTTTCTTTTCCTTTCTCCAAACCACCAGCTAACGTCCTGGAGGGCGACTCCATGGATCAGGACGTCGAGAGCCCAGTGGCCATTCACCAGCCAAAGTTGCCTAAGCAGGCCAGGGATGACCTGCCAAGACACATCAGCCGAGACCGGACCAAAAGGAAAATCCAGAGGTACGTGAGGAAAGACGGAAAGTGCAACGTTCATCACGGCAACGTGAGGGAGACCTATCGCTACCTGACCGATATCTTCACCACCTTAGTTGACCTGAAGTGGAGATTCAACCTGTTGATTTTCGTCATGGTTTACACAGTGACCTGGCTCTTTTTTGGAATGATCTGGTGGTTGATTGCGTACATCCGGGGAGATATGGACCACATAGAGGACCCCTCATGGACTCCTTGTGTTACCAACCTCAACGGGTTTGTCTCTGCTTTTTTATTCTCAATAGAGACAGAAACCACCATTGGTTATGGCTACCGGGTCATCACGGATAAATGCCCGGAGGGAATTATTCTCCTCTTAATCCAGTCTGTGCTGGGGTCCATTGTCAATGCATTCATGGTGGGATGCATGTTTGTAAAGATCTCCCAACCCAAGAAGAGGGCAGAGACCCTGGTCTTTTCCACCCATGCAGTGATCTCTATGCGGGATGGGAAGCTGTGCCTGATGTTCCGGGTAGGGGACCTTAGGAATTCCCACATTGTGGAGGCTTCCATCAGAGCCAAGTTGATCAAATCCAAACAGACCTCGGAGGGGGAGTTCATCCCGTTGAACCAGACAGATATCAACGTAGGGTATTACACAGGGGATGACCGTCTGTTTCTGGTGTCACCACTGATCATTAGCCACGAAATTAACCAACAGAGTCCTTTCTGGGAGATCTCCAAAGCCCAGCTGCCGAAAGAGGAACTGGAAATTGTGGTCATCCTGGAAGGAATGGTGGAAGCCACAGGTAAGATGTGTTCTGTCCTGGGACGGCTGTGGGATAGATGCCCATTTTAAACTGGACCTGGTGTTCTTATCTATTACAAGATCTAGAATACTGAACCTCACTCAATACTGACAACATCCCCTTGCTTCATGAAGTAGTATGCCTATGTGTGTGACCTGAAGTATATACGCCAGGAAGCTTAAGCGTTTAGTTTTTTAAAGTCTCTTGGAAAATAAATTAATGAACAATGAAATATCACCATATAATATATTTTAAGTCTCCAAATATTTACCCAAATTAAAATCTGATCTGTCTCTAAAGCACATCCTAAATGGCTTTAAAACATGGCTAATTTCAATACTTGAGGTTATTTATGACCAAGTTAGGAGGAGGAAGTTAAGCCTTTCAAAGGAAGCCTGAAAAACTGCTTTAATAAAAGTGCAGTTTCACCCATTCTCTGAGAGTCATTTACAAGGCCGATAGCATTGGTTTTTCTTCTGCATGAAGTGAGTGCCTAGTATCTCTTCCATTTGACCTGCCAAGCCCCTGGTAAGTATAATGCTGTAGACACAGTAAATAACTCTAACAGAAAAGGAAAAAGTTGAAGATCCATTCATTCTAATCCCGCTGGCCCTCCTGCTGTTAATGGCTAATCACTGGGATGTTTAAGGAAGATGATCTGTTCAGGAAATAGAGAAAATGGTCTGTTTTTACTGATGCCTTCGCTAATACCTGAAATTTGCATGTTACACCTCACAACAGCAAAGCAGGTTCCGCCCATATTTGTCTGTTACATCCCCTGAAACAGCGCCATCAGCTGTGACTCAAGCTGACCACAGTGCCTCACAGGAAAAGTATAAACCAGAACCCTGATTCATGAAGGCCATTATTGTTCTTGGAGGTAGTAATAGTGTCTTTGGTGCGCTTTTTCCTGATTCCATCCGCCCTTCTATGCTTTTGAGTCTTCAGCTTGAGGTTCGGGTGGTTGAATTGTCTGAAATTGCATTACCAGTGTCTTCATCACCCTGTGACAAGTAACTTAATCTGTGATGCCTTTCAGGGGAAAGCCATGGGTCCCCTGTTTCTACCTCCCGGTACCCAACAGGCGAGGTCACAACCTCTAACAAATTTCTCTTTTGGTGGTGGTGTGAAACTTTTGCAACAGGGTTTTTAAGTGCAGCAAACAATGAAAATGTGAGTAAAGGGCTTTGCATGGAGCTCAGTGGTAGCTCCTTTCCATAGAACGAAAGGCACAGCAGCCTAATCGGAAAGTAGCTTTAAAGAATATCGGAAGTCACTTGTGTTACGGAATACGACATACGTTCTGCGGATGTTAACAGGGCTATCTCTACCTTGAGCCTGATTTGGGGGTGCACTTGTGAGGCAATAGTTCAGTGGAGGGGAGAGAAGGAGGGAGGGGAGGAGGGAGGGAGATAGAAGGGAGAAGTAGAAGGTCAGGCAGGGAAGGAGGAAGGGAGAAAGGAGAGAAGGAAAAGGGGAGGAAGAAAGGAGGAAAGAGGAGAATGGAAGGCAGGGGAGGAGGAGGAGGGATAGGAGAGGAGGAGAGAGGCAGCTAGGGGAGGAGGGAGGGACAAGAAAGGGAGGAGGGAGAGAGGAGGAGAGGAGGCTGGGGAGGAGGGAAGAAGGAGAAATAATTCAAACAGGGAGCTGTCACTTTCCTACAGACCAGAAACTTCCCCAATGTCAGCTGAGCTCAGGGACTCTGGATCCCCCTAGCGGCCACAGAGCTACAGCCTCTGACACTATCAACTGACCACTCAAGAGGCAGTTTGTCTTTTAGCTTTTCACCATCAATTCCCCCAGGAGGACGTGAGGAAAGGCAGTATCTCTAAGCTCTGGAGACATACCCTCTAGTTACGGATGTTAATCTGAGCTTCAAATTGCAGGAGTTAAGCTTTGCGTTCCCTCAAACCAAAGCCCAATCCCATAAAATGAGCGAATCTGGAACAAGCAAATTATCTTTGTGACGTCAAAATTCTCCCTGGGGCAGACCCTGTCTTTCTGATGACAGCTGGTAATGAATGAGCCTTTCCAAAGGGAGGAACATGGTTTTCTGGGTACTTAACGGTGATACTTGCCTCTGAGCATCCTCTGGCCTTTCCACAGCTTTCATCGAGAAATCCGAGTAATTACCAGCAAACCAATCCAAACACTCAACCCTGTCCCTGGGACAAGGCAACTGCTACTCATTTTCTCTTTAAAAGTACTTTTCTAACTTCTAGACTTGTGGGGGTGTTCTAGAAGTTCTGGAGGTGTCTGGAAACTGGACGTGTCTTGGTCTTTTCCTCAGGGCAGTCGTTCATCTCAGTACCCCCAGCACAACAGATCCCTTACACTTCAGCGGGATACTGTTTCCTTGTGAATGAAAAAGCTCAATTTATGGGCATTAAACAGTCCCCTTAGGGGACAAAAATTCTTCAATCTTTCAAAACCACAGGAAGAAAAAATGTGGACCAAATGCACAGTCGAGGAAAACAAATTCACAGGAATTTAATGATTGACTGTAGTGCCATGAATGATAATCGCAAGCTGACACAAAACAGCTTCCCCGTGCTCATCACTTCTTTCAGAAATGTCACAGTTGACCTTAACCTGCTGTGCTCAGTGGTCTCAAGGAGCAGGCCTTTTCCAGGGAGGAGGGGAGGCCCACGTGGCCACCTTCACTCCGTGCCCTCTTCCCTGATAGGAAGCAGGCGTCCCGGGCACAGGATGATCCAACTTGGTGTTTTCCAGAGACCCGAGCTGTCTCACAGGAGGCCACCTGGGTCCTTCCGTCTGCCTCACAGGAGGCCACCTGGGTCCTTCCGTCTGCTGGGAGCTCAGGCCCGGTGCAGGGGAGTGGTGCTCTGTGGATGCCTTCCAAAGCCAGCCGCATTGCAGGATCAGGTTCCATTTTTAGAAAATGAAAGTGGGATCCTTCAAGGCTGGACATGAGCCCCCTTTCATGCCTTGAAGGGCCTGCACAGAAGACAGACCCACGCCCACACAGAACAGCCCCGCATCCTTTGTGAATGGTACTGGCCTGGTCCTGCCTGAAGTCAGAGGGACATGCCAGGTGACCTTTCAAGAACCTTCCTGTCATGTGGTTCTATTTTTGAAAATGAATCAAACCTTGGAAAATTCTGACACCAGCCACTCAGACATCTAGGAGCTGGCCGTGTCTCATCTGCAGATATATTTTTAAAGGGGGCCGTTTATGTTCCTGACACATGGGCGATTTTGAGATAGTGGTGTTTACAGAAGGTTTCATGGCTACGTAAACAAACGTGCTCAGCAGCTGTGGCCCATGTGTGTTAAAATAGTAAAGCATTCATATAGACTGTTATTTATAGAGGGCAAACGGGCCTCGAGGCAAGATGACAGCCACACAGCGCTGGGCTTGCTGCCAGTCAGCCCCACTAGGCCTTGCTGATTGACGAACTTCCACATTTACCCCCAGCGATTATGCAACGGCAGCCGGCAGCACCTGCCCACACCTCAGCCAACGTGCCTGCAAGGATGAGTCCCAGTTAAGCCTTTGGGTTATTTCACACTTCTTTTGATGGAACCTATCAGACTTACACAAAAACAGACCCGGTAGTATCATTAACCCCTGAGTCCCCGTCTTTCTGCTCCAGCGATGATCAATTCATGGTCAAACTTGCTTCCTCTGTACCCCCACTCGCTGGCTGCCCCCCAGAATCATGTCATTTCATCTGCAAATATTTCAGTTGGTGTCCCTAAAAGATAAGGACTCTTTTAAAAACATAGCTATAACACCATGATGACACCTAAGATAATGACCAGTAATTTAAGATCCAACATCCACTGAGTGTTCAAACTTCCAATTGACTCATAAACGTCACAATTTTTTTTTAATTTACAATCAGCTTGTTTGAATCAGGATCCAAATAAGTTAACACGTGGTCATTGGTTGAGATCTCTTGGAAGCCTCTTAATCTGGGTTCTTCTTCCATCTCTGTTTGTTTGTTTGTTTGTTTCTGGTAAGTTTTTCTTAAAGAAGAGAACTTTCGCCGGGCGCAGTGGCTCACGCCTATAATCCCAGCACTTTGGGAGGCCGAGGCGGGTGGATCACGAGGTCAAGAGATCGAGACCATCTTGGTCAACATGGTGAAACCCCGTCTCTACTAAAAATACAAAAATTAGCTGGGCATGGTGGCACGCACCTGTAGTCCCAGCTACTCAGGAGGCTGAGGCAGGAGAATTGCTTGAACCCGGGAGGCAGAGGTTGCAGTGAACCGAGATTGTGCCATTGCACTCCAGCCTGGCGCCTGGTGACGGAGCGAGACTCTGTCTTAAAAAAAAAAAAAAAGAAGAAGAGAACTTCTGAAAGATTTAAATGCTGCATAAAACACTGGAGGAAAGTGGTGAATGAAACATACCAGAGAACACCTTATAGACAAGGAGGCAGGGCTGATTAATCGCAAGTTGCCACCTGGGAGTTACCAAGAAGGACAGCCAGTGTTCACTGGAAATAGGTGAAGGAAACCCATCTTTCACCATAGAAAGGCTCAGTTCTGTCACGAGCATAGTTATTCCCAGGCAGAGAGTTTACTCACATAAATCACATCACGGATTATAAAATATTTTAGTTGGAGGGAATCTTTGCCCATTTTACAGATGAGGAAACGGAAGCCCAGCAAGACCCGTGACTTGGCTAAGGTCAAACAGCCAGTAGCAGGCCAGGACCATGAGAGCCATAGCCATCGATGGTGTTGTCTGGCACGCTGTGTTCAGTGCCCTTTGCACCACGAGTGCTGCTGATTGATGAGGATTCGGTGGAGAAATGCACCCAGAAAGGACAACTGATATCTCCTGTGCAGATGGCTGGTATTCATGTACCCTCTTTTCTTTTCTCCTACCATTAGTTCCTCTTTTTCCTTAAGGCTCTTCTGTTTCCAAGTGTTATCAATTCATTTTTAAATTATGTAGGCATCCACATGAATTTTAAACAACCATATATCAAAATGAGATGTACCACAGAACAATTCTGAAATCAA